ATGTTGAAGAGTGGCACTTACTGGTCCATCCTGTCTTTACTAATAAAAGGGTAATATGCTAATTAGAATGGGAAACCTCCTGGACAAAGCCATGGTGGCGGGGCCGAGGCAGAGGCGGTTAGGGGCAATCAGGCCAGGAGGGGAGGGCAGTTGGGGGCGAGCAAGCTGGCAGGGCAGCCCAGTTGAGGGTAAGCAGGCCAGCATGCAGAATGGTTAGGGAAGATCAGGCAGGCAGGTGAGTGTTTAGGAGCCAGCTGTCCGGATTGTGAGAGGAATGTCCAAGTGCCCACAGGGATTGGGTCTAAACCAGCAGTCGGACATCCCCTGAGGAGTCCCAGATTGGAGAGGGAGCAAGCCAGGCTGAGGTACACCCCTCCCTCCTCCCTGTGCACACATTTTGTGCACTGGGCCACTAGTCCTATATAATAAAAGCTAATATGCAAATAGATCAATGACCAATCGCTATGTTGCTCACTGACCACCAGAGGGCAGATGCTCAATGCAGGAACTTCCCCCTGGTGGTCAGTATGCTCCCTCAGGGGAAGCACCACTCAGCCAGAAGCCGGGCTCACAGCTGGCAAGTACAGGGGCGTGGCGGGAGCGTCTCCCACCTCCGTAGCAGTGCTAAAGTTGTCTGACTGACAGCTTAGGCCCACTCTTTGCAGGGAGCCAGACATCCTCCAAAGGCTCCCAGACTGTAAGAGAATGCAGGCTAGGCTGAGGGAAATCCCCCCTCCCCCAGTGCACTGGGCACAAATTTCATGCACTGGGCCTCTAGTTTTACTATAACAGCTTAGCTGTACTAGGCACTAAAGACCTCAAACCTCTCCAACTACTCCAAAAACTACAACACTGCAAAATAGTAACAAAAAGTGGGGCATTTTATTCATTTAACAAGTCTCACAGACTTCTTATCCGGAGCTTGGTCAATAGTTAAAAATGTTAAAAGTTATCAATATTCAACAGATAGAATGCATTCCCTCTAAGCAATGAAAGTGTGGATTTGGTTCCTTTTCTACTGATTTTAAAACTAGTGAAGCTCCAAGTCCCACCGGAAATTCAAATGAAATGGTATTAACAACACTGCTGTCATTTGAAAAGTAAACTGACTGTAACAGTCTAGGATATTTTATTTTTCTTCACAAAGAGCCTACTGGAATTTGAATATTTCTTCGCTTATCATTGACAACTCATCTAGAACGGTAGAAGGAAATTGAACTGTTAACAAAAGAAATGTCTTAGTGCAGTAGACTTACCAAATGAGAAAAGAAAAAAATAAATATAAAAACTCAAAGCTGCAGAGATTTATTTAATTTGGCTACTTCCTTGGAAAGCACTCTGAATGATGGGAACAGGAAGGGGGGAAAAAAGATCGATTCTTATTTAGAGGAACTGACAGCAATTGAAATTGAAATGTTCATATGAAAGAGAAAACCATTAAAAACTGTAGGTGATTTGACAATTCCACTTTCCCCCCACAGTTTACGGTGTTATTTTAGGCAACCTAATATGCAGTGTCTAGCAGGTCAATTGACAAATTTAGAAATCTCTTGATGTTTAAAAAAAAAAAAAAAAAAGTGCTTGAAAAGAGGTTTTGCAGATTGCAAAATCTGGGTAAGACTGGGTAATGCAAACCTCAAAATAAGGTTTGCTGAACCTCTGCTAGCCCTAGCAGCCTCACAGTTCCAGTTACAGATGAGCTTTTCTTTTTTCTTTTGTAAAATATATATTTTTATTGATTTCAGACAGGAAGGGAGAGGGAGGGAGGGAGAGTTAGAAACATCCATGATGAGAGAGTCTCGTTGATTAGCTACTTCCTGCATGCCCCTTACTTAGAATCGAGCCCGCAACCCAGGCATGTGCCCTGACTGGGATTCGAACTGTAACCTCTTGCTTTTTAGGTTAATACTCAACCACTGAGCCACGCTTGTCAGGCAAAGAGTTTTTCTTAAAACCTTGTATTCAAGCTTCTATAGAAAGCTCTAACAGAAAGAAAAAAAAAGACATCGTAAAATATTTTTTGACAAAAAAAGGACAATGTAAAATATGTTTCAACAAAACCTACAGCAAAACAAAGTTTGCACTGAACCTTACAATGTCATCTAGATCAGTGAGTAAGAAACTGAACAGACACATTTTGGTTGTAGTGAAATCGTGTCTCATGGTCGTGCCTTTAAAAATATTCATTTAGTGCAGTGGTTCTCAACCTTTCTAATGCTGTGACCCTTTAATACAGTTCCTCATGTTGTGGTGACTGCCAACCATGAAATTATTTTCATTGCTACTTTATCACTGAAATCTTGCTACTGTTAATGAATCGTAATGTAAATATCTGTGTTTTCCGATGGTCTTAGGCTCTACAGCAGCGGTTCTCAACATGCGGGTTGAGGATTGCCTAAGACCATGGAGAGAAAGCAAAGACAGACAAAGCAGACTTAAAAGATGGGATTTGGGACACAGGGTGAGCCCTGGATCCATCACGCCAGAGGTATGACTGGCTTTTTCGTGTTGTGAGCCAAAAAGATGTTTACCCTCTGATGTGGTGGATTGGTGGCATGGACCAGGTTAAGCTCAGCTCCCCTTGGTACAACAGGGCAGCATAGTTTTTAAGAAAGCCCAGAGGTGTCTGGCCCTCCTTTGTTGGACTATCAATGTTCTGGTTCCAAGTTTCTTTTCCTGTTGACTTTTTTTTTTCTTTAAATCTAGTCCATGACACCTTGCTATTGTTGACATTTTTTCTTTGTCAAAGACAAACTATTGACATTTTAACAGGATTTGTGCAGAGGCTATAGTTCCACAAATTTCATATTCCAAGAACATATAGAGCCTTTTTTTTTTTTTTTTTTTTAGGTCAATGCCTATTTTCCTTATATGGGTGAGTATTCCTTTCTGACAATCACTGTGGAAGGAAACCATTTCTGAGTGGTTCCTCTCTCAAAGGGAGTACTAGATATACCAGTGTTTTGTGGTGAGGAAAAAGGGGCTAGGAAGACAAGGGCAAGATTATCTAAAGCGATTCAAACAAACATACCCCAAAACCAGTTCAAGTGCACAGACAGATGCCACTCCATGGTGGGGACATCAGTGCCATGGATGGGGGACAGTTGGCGCCACCAAACTGCATGGGATGGGCTCCCCACAGGAGTGAGGGCCTGTGTTATTACAGGAATGGGAGAACAGTGATGGACAAACCAAAGGAAATCCCTTTCAGTGGTAACACAGGAAAAGCATCATCCCCGAGGCAAGAATGCAGTATAGGGAACTAGCAAGTAGAGAACACTTTCTGCTAGCTATGGGGACCAATATTGGTATCTGGATAAATTAGAAAATGGCCTCTTTGATCCGACTCTTTCCTCCAATCTTCCCCCTGTGCCTAAGCGGTATCAGAAGGACAAGGGCTGTTAACTAGAGCTGTATTCTAAGCATGTAGCACAGGACTTACCTGCCATTTTCTAAGTTATCAGGACACTTCTGTGGTGTTTATCTTAGGGGGCGAAGGGCAATCACTTGGGAACATGGGAGCCTCAGTCACCCTCCCAGCCCTCACTGCATTACACAGGTAGGACATCCCACTACACCACCATCCTGCAGGCACCTCTCACCTCCTGAAGAAAGGCTTGAGGAAATGTGTTTACAACATCATTAAATACCACTGCACCTGCATCAGGCTGCACACCTGGGATGCACAGATGAGTCTTTTTTTTTTTTTTTTTTTTTTTTTTTTTTAATTTCAGTATCCTCCATAGTAGACACAAAGGTCTGGTACACAGCATTTGGAAAGAAAAGCATGAACTCTTCAAGAAGGGGAACTTGAAAACCAAGGGCTCTAGATGGCAGCTTCATACAACAGAGCCAGCTTTAAGAGGCGGGAGACGTATGAACGCAGAGTGGACAACAATCCACAGTAGTTGTGGGCGCAGCCCAGGCTGGTTTATACTATATAACAAAGTAGCTCGTCAGATGGGTATAAGAGAAACCCAATTGCAGAGTGTCACTGGGCTGTCGCCTCCTCAATTAGACTCTCAGTTGGGTAAACACCTTCCCAGAGTCCTTCTGCCTGACCTTTAGGAGATTTCTGGTTCTCTATACACCCCTACATTCATCTTCCCACCCCTGAAAGACTCGGGATTCCTCCAACAACACTCTACAAGTCACATGAACTACCATTTACTGAGCACCTACTATCTGCCAGGCACCTCACATCTTTAGTGATATTAATCATTAATAAAGACAAGTCTAAATGACTACAGCTTAGGAGTGAGCCTGTGATGTCAGATTTGCAAAGCAAACATGGCTGACATTCTTGCACTCTTTCCTCTGTGTAAAAATCGACAGGTCCTCTGGGACTATTTTCCCAATCAGTGGAGTTAAGTCCGTTCTAAAGTACAAGGAGCATAGTTTTATGCTTTTTGATGATGTGCACGGGCTTCGTGGCTGCACCTCTGCTTTCAAGTTTCAAGCATCATAAACAGATACTTGTATCTGTGAGTTGAGGGATACTGATATACATCAGGTTGGCATCCCTTATAATGATAAGTTCTACCCAAAGGTGACCTGCTTTATGGCATGAGCTAACGAACATGCTGCAATTTAAAAAAAGGGAAAAAGACCATAGAATATCTACCGTGCTGTATGTTTAACATGGGGACTGGTCCCAACTAAAAAAAGTGATTGAGTATCTTTTTGTGTATTCTAGATAATTTGGCTTAAAAAAAAAAAAAGCCACAGCAACATCACTTGTGCTCCAGTTATCAGAGTGCATTCAAGTTCAGAGCACTGCACAACATGTAATAATTATGTTGGTGCTTCTATGAGTTATAATTGCCTCTTGTATGATTACTGATAATTTCAGGTAATTGTCAGCAATATGAAAGAGCTTTTTGTGGTCCCACACTGGATATTACCCTGGGGAAGGCCTTGCGAAGCTGGGAGGGGGGCCGAGGAAAGGAGAGCGAGCTTCCGCGGTATGATGTGCTTGGTTCATTCTCTGAAATAAACACCCGGCTAGACTCTGAAGATTTCGTTACCACACATGACAATTATATGCTGAAAGACAGCACCAGCTTTTGCAAGGAAGAGAAAGGATCCATAAAAAAATTCTTCTGTCTTGGCATCCCTGACTTTTCAGAAAATGTAGTCATTGAAACCGGGTAGAAGCCGAACCTGAATGTTTTTTTGTTTTTGTTTTTTTGTGTTTTTTTTTTTTACATCTGAGATATCTGAACTGGCAGGCGTGGCAAGAGATCACACCAAAGGGGTGTGAGGGATTTCCAAACACGGTCGTGACTACTGTCAGGAAAGAAAAAGCGCCTGAACACAACATGAGCCAATTTTTTCTCTTCACTTCGATGGAAGTGGAGGGAGTACAAATAAGACAATTTTAACATGTAAATGCTCAGTGGACTCTATAGAGTAACACATTTAGTCCAGGAAGAGTAGATGAGTTCGCTGTTTCTGAAAATATATAACCTGTTTGTGAACATACAGGCTCTCCACGGAACAATGTGATGTGATAAAGAACTGGATTCCCAGGAAAAGCAATCGGAACAGCAGGTGGTGTATGCCTCTCGTCTGGAACACACATCATTAAGATGTCTGAGGATAATCACTCCCATTTTTACTTTATCCAAATATCAAAAGATCAGAGTGGCTCAATTCACTGTTTCTTATGCAAATGCACCGCCCCCCTCCACAGCCCCCGCCCCGCTGCTTTAGAAAGAAGACCAAAAAGACAGTAAAACTCCAATCAGCCCCAGAGAAAGGTTAAAGTCATTCTTTTTTATATCCATTCTGGGTAGTGATCCATAAAAAATAATTAGGACAAGGGTAAACCTATTATGTAGCACAGACTCACCATCAGTCTTGTCAATCTGTATTTGCTCAGGCACTAAAGATTTGTTGGGCTCTGTGTATATGTATAATTAAAATGTACATTAACTGCATACGTATACATTTCTCTTCCCTCATGTCACCCAGGCCACGTCTGTGAGAATGCCTGCTGGCCTCTTCCCTGTGAGTCCACACGGGCCTCCCTGCACATGCTAATCTGAAGATTGTAGGGCTTGCCACCTCTCCATTTATTTGTCGCACCATCCATTTTTCACACCTTCCTAACTATCCATCACGCAGCGTTATCTCTCCCCAGCACTCCCTGTCTGTTGCATTTTCCTTGATCCTCCCTCTGAGCTAAGCTCCTTTCACACCATGTCTATTTCCTTCACATCCCTGTGGAGCAGAGGTGGCTGGGCACAGGTCTCTGGCTCTAAGATGCCTGCGATGCGGATTCTGGGGGGGAATGATTTTGTATTAAAGGCCTGTCAGAGCCGGCCTGAAGGAGGGCACATTTGAAATCGTTTCTCTTATTGAGAGATAAGTGTTCACTGTCATTTAGTCTTCCATTCTCGATTTTACCTTTCACACCACGTCCCTATTTATCCTCCGGCCGCCTGCATATTTGACAATGTTATTGCTGATAGTGTTACGGTACCAGATATGCACACGTAAGGCTGAAGTGACGGATGCATGACCCTGGGTGCTTCCTGTGCTTAATCCGCCCATGTGGGCTCCATCCCAGACTGTTGGGGCCGCCCCGATGATCTCTATCCAGGTCCTTGTTTTCCTTCATGGTAATAATAATGCTAAGCGACAAGGCCAAGAATTTATTAGACTTCTTTCTTCCTGGGTAATTAAATGGCATATCCTTGTCACCACCTCCTTTAGTTGGCCGTCAGCCAGACTCAGAAGTATTGAGCAAAGGCAGAAGGTTTCCCCCTTCATTGTGTGAGGATATTTTGGCCTAGTTTTTCAAGCTCAGTTTGGATTGCTCATTCTTTCTCTTTTTTAAAATATATATATATTTTTTTTTATTCCAAAGAGGAAGGGAGAGGGAGAGAGAGGTAGAAGCATCAATGATGAGCGGAAATCCTCAACTGGTTGCCTCCTGCACGTCCCATCCCGCCTGCTATCCAGGCATGTGCCCTCGCTGGGAATGGAACTGTGACCTCCTGGTTCATAGGTCAATGCTCAACCACTGAGACACACTGGCAGGGCAGTTTGCTCATTGTTAAAGCGGTTTACTATACATATTTGTCAAGAGACAATGCATTGTTCCAAGGAAGTACTGGTTAACTAACAAGGCCTATCATCTATAGGGTAATCTACATACCACAATTTGCCCAGTATTCCCCACATTGTGAGCTTTAAGGAATAAGAATGTGCCTCCCTTAACTCTGCCATGTTTACAATTCACATTATAGAGGTCACTCCTAACAAGATGGGGGGAAAGAGGGCAAAAGAAAAGTTTTTCAGCAGTCTTTGGGAGACTTAAACACATCCACTCTAGGTTTAGAGTAACTCAAACACTCCGTTACCAAACTACCGTATTTTTCGGACCATAAGACGCTCTGGACCATAAGATGCACCAGTTTTTAGAGAAGGGAAAAGAAGAAAAAAAGATTCTGAAACAAATAGTGTCCTAAAATATTTTATGTGCATTAAAACCCAACATCACAGTCATAAACACATGTAATCAACCCTGTAAAGTAAACAGCAGCATTTAGAACCATTTTAGAGCCGGGCAAGCACACAGAGACCACACAGAGCCGGGCAAGTAAAAAAACTTTTTTTTAAAGTATATGTGTAGGCTATATTTGGACCATAAGACGCAGGGACTTTTCCCCCCCACTTCTGGGGAGAAAAAAGTGCGTCTTATGGTCTGAAAAATAAGGTAAGTTTCAAATGAATGCCCACCCTGATAGAAATTACCGATACAAAGTTCAGTAATAAATTATCATCTTCAGTTAGCAAACATAAGCTTTAATGAAATTTCCATCAAAGAAAAAAAAATACCAAGAATTATTTAAAGAGACACTTATTTATTTGAGTTAAATGTATTTTTTATTGATTTCAAAGAGGAAGGAAGAGATAGAAACATCAATGATGAGAATTGGCTGCCTCCTGCACGCCCCACACTGGGCATGTGTCCTGACCGGGAATTGACCCCTGACCTCCTGGTTCATAGGTCTGAGCCACAGCTGGCTGGGCTAAAGAGACTTTTTTTTAAAGTTGCTATTAAACTTTTACTCTATTTGTGACAATTCCTATAGGAATTTAACAACCATTTTAAATATAAACTTTGTCAGCAGGGCTTTCCCGATTTGTTACATTGAGAAACACATGTATGAATAGACATGAAATGAATTTGAACAAAATCTGCACAGCTTAATGCAGCAATTTTTAACTGGTGTTCCACAGAATTTTTAAAACATGCTATACCTGACCATTTAGTTAGGGGCACTGACTTCTTTTCCCTTATGTTGTTACAGATACAAAAATGACAATAGCCAACACAGTAATAGCCATCGGGTGTGAATGAATCAAAATTATACCTATGTTTTTTATCAGATTGGCAAAAAAGATATACTTTGGTGTGTTGCAGAATTTTAGTAATTGGTTTATGTGTTCTGTGAGATGAAAATGATTGAAAATTGCTGGCTTAATGAAATAGTTTTTATTTTTTATTTTATTTACATGAATTTTAAAAACCCTAAGATAGTGTGTTGCTCCTGAGGGCATATGCAAGTAGCCCTGAGAAGGTCATCCCGAGATAGATTATTCTGGTGTAAACACATTTTATACATTCCCGCATGATAGATTTTGTTTAGATCTCTCTACTTAGTAAAATACACGATGTTCCTGGGTGCTTTGGTCCTTGGAGGTCATTCTGATATTTGAGATTTCTCTGGCTGAAAATGCAATTTTATCAGGCTTTACAAAATGTACTCTTTAGACAGATATCTAACTCATAAAATATATTTTGTACCTGAAAATAGTTGGCCCCATTGAGCCAAAAGGGAGGCACATGTATGTGCTGCAATATAGAAAACTTTTAAAATTAGCACTGGGAACTGCAAATCTTACAGAGTTGGCTGACTTGGCACTTGGCACTTGCAGTTCATTGAAAACTGCAAGGGGTGTGTGTGTGTGTGTGTGTGTGTGTGTGTGTTGGGGAGGGGTGCTCCCTCAACCTCTTGTGGAAATGGGAGTTTTATTTGCATGTGGACAAAAAGATACACGTCTAATGCCAGGTCCAGCCTCCACAGAGTCCAAGTTAAAAGTAGACACCAATGTCAGAGGGGCTGACCCAGAAGCAATGCTCACGCCAAAAAACCATGAGTCAATCTTAACTGCTCCTTATCTCTCGGGCACACACCTACATGTGATCCATCTTCAAAAGGCTTTGGCTCTATCTTCAAAACACATCACATCTCTGACCCATCCTGGCCATCGCCATCACCATGGCTCCCATGCTGCCCCACCTCTCTCTGCCCCCTGGATGAAGACAAGAGCTCCCTAAGTGGTATGGCCCTCTTCCCTCTTGTTCCCCTACAGTCCATTCTCAACACAGCAGTCAGTAACCGATGTCTGATGATATCAAATTCCAAGCTCGCTTTACACACTCCCTCAGAGTCAAAGCAAAATGCTCACAATCACCTCCCAGGCTTTACATGAGCCGCCACCACCACCCGGTTCTCTGATCTTATTGCTTATCCCTCTTCTCATTTCTTTCTGTGCAGGCCAAACAGGCTGCTTGCTGTTTCTCCAGCATATCAAGTACACTCTGTGTCAAGGTCTTTGTATTGTGTGCTGGAAGGCTTTTGCAAGACATCCATGTGGCCAGCTCTTACTAGAGAGGCCTTCCTTGCAGGGCCATCCTATACTGTGCCCCTTCCCTGGCCACCCTATACTATACCCCTTCTGCCCATCCTAGCCCACACCACTTTCTCCCTTTACCTTCCTTTATAATACTTTTTCTATGACAATACTCAGCACTTCACATTATGCATTTATTTGTTTGTTCATCAGTTAAAACTCTTACTGTCCTCATGTAGGCTCCATGAGGACAATGATTTTTTGACATGTGTCTGTGTGGCCAGCCCCCAGGCCAGTGCCTGATCTAGAATAGAAGTTCTACAACTATTAGGTGAGTGAAGGAACAGTCACACAGTTCATCAGTGGCCTCTCACATTGTGTTCCCATCATACCAAGCTGTGCCTTTCCCAATGATCCCACAGGCCCACATTCATACGCTCCATATGCTATTCCCTGTCATGAGAACACTTGTCCCGTCTCCCTGTCCACTGGATAAACAGCTTGAAGTGCCTGTGATGTTTCACTAATGTCTCTGAAACCTGCCTGCTTCTCCCAGCCTCTTCTTGACTCCCAAAGTAGTTCAACAGAAAGCAGCTCCATGGATGAAATCAGGTGCATAAATCCATAACCCTGTCTCCCAGAGGACGGAGTGTTGACAAATATCTGCTCTGGGCCACAGTTTTGTTGGCATCAGTGAAACTTCCTAAATGACAAGTTTGTAAATACTGGAGTATCTAATTATATTTTATTAGAATTATTTTACTTTTCTATGTCCTTCACAAAACAGAATACAGGGACCCAGTCTTATTTGACCTAGGGTTGGCAAAATCTGAGTAAGTTTATAGAGATTAAATGGATATGATCAACAGATCATAAATAACACTTACTGAAAACTATTAAAATCCTGCTGCTTTACTTGGAATATCTCACTTAAGCATCTGAAAAACAACATAAGGCAGAAATTATGAAGTCCCTTTACATTTGTGGAACCCTAAGCTCAGATGAGTAAAATAATCATGGCCAAGGTCACACAATGACAGGGGCAGAGCCTGGGACTGAGCTGTTGAACCTCAACCATCTGGCTCATGATGTCATCTTGCCTCAGAAGGGCTGCCAAGAAGACCAGGGAAGGTTCCCTAATCTGGCTACAGATCAGAATCACTTGAGATGCTTGAGGAATTGCAGGGACTTTGGTTTCACCCCTAGAAATTTTTTTTGCTTAACTTTGGGATGAAGCCCTAAGAGCCATCTTTGAATAGACACCTCAAGGGATTCCAATGCTGCCAATTCACTGGCCAGGTGTAGCAAACAGAAAACAGCACACCAAATGGGGGAGATTGGGAGCAGTTTAATGAAGGGACCGCTTATAAAGGTGCAGGCTGGGATAAGGTAGAGTAGAATACCCACAGAGAGCTGTTCAGACCTATAGGCTGAAAGGGGCAGGTGAGGAAGAAGTTGCCAGAAGGTTGCACAGTTGCTATAGCTGCCAGAGAAGACATCCTGGCAGAAGCTTGAGCATTCAATCCAAGACCAAAGGCAATCAGAAACCAGAGAGCAAGAAAGCCTGGCTATAGTCCATACAGGGCAGCATCATGAGGCCTGGAACAAAGTGGAGAAAGGAGATGTATCCTGTCTGAAGGGCTAGGAGAGTCAGTTTCCTTGAGAAGGTATGCTGGTTCAGTAATTGCACTGGACATGTCAGGCATCCTTCACTCTCAGCTCTGACTCATACAATCACTGCCTGCTGAATACTTCTGTATCCCACAGGCATGGCACATGAAGCCTGCCCATCCTCCGGCATTCCTACCCAACAACAGACCCCAGGCTCCTGGCCAGAATCTAGGGTGTCTTCGTATCTCTTCTCTCTCCCTTCCTTCCAATCAGTTGATTGCAAATCCTTCTGGGTTCTCTATACTTGCTATCTCAGCGCCTTCCCCTTCTCTTCTTTCTCACGACCATTTTTGCTTGAGGCCTCATCATCTCTGCCTGGATCTTTGCAGGAGCCTTATAATTGGTCTCTTTGCTTCAAACTAGTCTCTTCAGAGTCGATGAAGCATTCTTTTCAAAACATAAACCTGATCCTATTTCTCTCAGGCTTCGTATCCTGCACTGGATCCCCCGCGGCATGTAGGTAAACTACTATATGCAGACACCAACTGTGAATGCAAAATGTTTCCTCATTTCCATTTCTCAATCATTTTTTGCTAATGTAGAGAGACACTTGATTTTTCCATATTTACTGTGGATGAAAGTCTTTGTTAATTTGAGTGTTTTATCAGTCCATCAATCATGCATGTTCTAGGCACACGATTTAATATAAGCAAAAGATGACATAATTGAATTTTTTTTTCTACTACTGATACAAATTTTTATATTTTCTTTCCTTACAATATTAGAATCTCCAAAACAAGGCTGAATAATAATGGTGACAGTATCCCTCCTTGTCTGGTTCAGTTTAACTGAAATGATTTCAGTGTTTTGCCATTTAAGACAATGTTTGTTAGCCACTGTTTTGGGGGTAAATAGCCTTTATTATATCCTGAAATTACCACCTATTCCTACTTAACCTTTAACTTGTTTCTTTAATTAGAATACCTGCTGGGATTTAGGAAATGCCTTTAGAAGCATTTTAATACAATATCATTATTTTCCTTTATTTTGTTATAGAAATTAATTACATGGATAGATTTCCTGACAGTGACTATTTTTCCATTTCTGGAAAAAGCCTACTTAGTCATAGCATATTATTCACTGACACAATTATATAATTTGATAGTTATAGCCATATGATGTTGGTCTGTAGTTCCTGTTCTTTATATATTTTTTTTTTATCATTTTTTGCTATAATTGTTATACTGTCTTCTTTTATGGTCTGGAATAGTGCAGTAACATTAAGATTAACTGCTTGCTGATTGGCAGAGATCTTACCTGTGTAACGGTCTGATTCATGTGATTTCTGAAATGGTAGACCTTTAACTATGTTTCTATAGTATCATCTATATCTTATACAAATTTTCTTCTTCCTGAAGAAAATATGTAAGTTTAAACTTAATTTATATAAAGTAAGAGTCATTCTTTTTGGCATACAACTCTATAAGTTTTGGCCAATGACAGAGTCATGTATGGACCATGACGGGGGCCTGCTTCTCCTTTTCCCTTGGCCAAAAAGTTGGGGCTCTATGAGTTCTAGACACCCCAAGGTCTGGTCCACACTTCTGTGTAACTGGAGCTGCCCTCAGGTCAAGTGGTGAGAGACAAGAGAAAAATAATGGACTTTACCCTTCGCCTCCATCACTCATTGGACCACAGTAATTCCTTTTCTTGATTCTTCTGGCTACAGGCCATTTTCTCTCAAGATTTTAGATGCCTGAACCTCTGCTGGGGCCACCACCCTTGGGATGAGGCTGAGAGGAAAATAAAACAAAATGAAGGGAAAAGGGAGATTCCTCCTACACTCTCCAGTTTACAGGAGGCCTCCTTCCTGGCCATGGGCACTGGCACAGTTCAGTGGCTGGGGCTGCCCTCAGAGCAACCAGGACTGAAGGAGGAAAACACCAGGTGCCTCACTACTGCACTAGTTTGTCAAGTTCTGACTTCTCTCCCAATCTGTCTGTGTAATTTCCTTTTCAGGTCATTGCTTTGGGTACTCTTTCCAGGACTTAGAGTTGTCATCGGTGGAAGAAATGGGCTTGGTGGGCTTCTGGGACTTGGCCAGCACCAGAAATGGCATCATTTGCATCCAAATCATTTCATTTGGGCTTTCAAATTTATTGTCACAAGGGTGAATGTTTTACCATTCTCTATCTGTGGTTTTATCACCTTCTTTGCTCCTAATTATGTATATTTTTTGTTGTCTCTCTCAACTATAATAAAATAGAAGTTATCAATTCTATTGGTCTTTTCAAAGAACCATATTTTGGACACATTTAGCTTTTCCACAAGTCATCAATTTTCTAACTGAACAATTTAAGCCCTTATCTTTAATACTTCTCTTTTTCTACATGTATTATTTTTATGTTCTTTTTCTAAGTTTTTAAGATACTACATTTCATGTCCCTTTATTATACTTTTAAATATTGATGTTTAAGGCAATAGAGTTCTCTTAAGTTTAGCTTTTAATATGTCCCATAGATTTTGGTAGAAAAAACTTTTAATTGCTTTTTAGGTGGTTTATAATTCAAGTTTTGACTTCTATTCTTATCCAAGGGTAATTTAGAAGAATTTTAGTAACATGTAATTAAGAGCCTTATGGTCATCATTTTGCACTGATTTCCTTTTTACAATTATTTTTAACTATAAGATTAGTGTGTGATCATGCTACAGAAGGCACAATGCACCTACAAACCAGCAATGGCCAGGTTGGCAGTTGCCAGTCCCAGATGTGGTAGACATTTTCACTGTTCACCTTTATACAATTCCCTCTAACTCTGGCATAGAAAGAATTCCACTCCTCCCAACTTCCAAAGCTACGTGTACCCATGTGAACTGTTCTGTCCAATGACTGTGAGAAAAAAATGGCATGCATCACTTCTGGGTGAAAACATTTAAAGGACAGTGTGCAAATACTCGTTTTCCCTCCTTCCTGCTACAGTGACTATTGAGTTTCCAGATGACAAAGCCTCAATCAGCCTGGGTCTCTCATGCAGAAACCTAAGATCATGGGTGATTGACATGTAATATGAAAAAGAAAGGAAGGCTTGCTGTATTTCTGCCACTGAGATTTGGGGAATTTTTGTTTCCACAGATTAAACCAAGCCTACCAGGACTAATATAGCATGGCAAGGAACTGTTTCCGTCTTGGATCCCTCAGCTGATAAAGATGCTATTCTCCTGCTTGCATGGAAATAAAAGACTCAGCCTGGGTAGTCTCATTCTTCATCATAGCTCTTTGAGGGCCGGGGTTTCTCAGAGCCACTTTGGGGCTGGTACTGCCCTTTTTGGCTCCTGGCGTGGCCCTTTGGTTCTGGATTCCAGAAAATCCCCAGGTGCTCCTGCCTAATCCATACCCAGGAGAGATGGAAAACAATTAAGATGGAATTAGGAAGGAAGGTGGCAGAGATTTGATTCTGTATCACCATTTTCCCAGGCAAATTCCAAGGTAGAGTTTACAAAGTCATTTTCATCTGGTTCCTGCCTTCTCTCTAGCATCCTCTCTCTCAACTTTTCATTCATTTCACAATGGCCTTGTGACATACAGTCTGCTATTCATTTGATGTCTTTTTTATGATAGCAATGCTGTTATCTTACTTCATCCACCGTCTCTCACCTCTAGTCCCTTCCCCTAAGTAACCCATTCTCAGTTTCATGTTCTTTCAAAAATACTATACTTCTGTACACCTTCAACATGTGAATGTTCATACTATCTTTAACCATTCATTTCACAGTCCTGGGCCTGGCACAGATGTGTAGCCCATGAGCAAACATGCATTGTCTTTGACTCCTTTGAACTCTCGAATCTAGCCATGAAGACCCAAATAAACAGACATTTTTAACAGATAGCTATACAGAAAGGAAAACAGGATGTGCATGAAAGGATGTATTTGATTTCCTTGGGAGGAGAGGAATAAAAAATGATCAGAAATGTAGTTAAGGAGCATCAAAAACTTAATTGTACATGTACAACATGAAGTAATGTAGTGGCAGAAGAGTGTGGCAGCGCATAGGTAATGGGCATAAACATTACTGGAGTGCATGAACCCATCTAAATCACTGTTGGAAATATCTGTGAATGGGTCATATGTTCACAAGCAGATTGGAAGGTCCTTAGAGATAAGCTCTCTCCAGGACATATTGTAGGCACTAACTGGAATATTTTTTAATTCATCCCATTCTCATCTGTTCTAGCGAAGGATGAAAAGAAAACACTAATATATATCAAGGACCTATTACCTGCCAAATATTGTCCTAAGTGTTTTGCATTTAATACTTTATCCTTACATCATCACTGTTTTAAAAATAATTTACTACTTTATGTTTCAGAAGAAAAATTAAGACCTTTAACTAAATAGTTAAATGCAATAATATAAGAAAATATGATTACCACCCTTCACCCACACATTTAGACATTCTACAAAGGCTACTACTGTCTAATGTGATGTGATCCTTCCTGTCCCTTTCCCATACATGCATATTTATGTACATGTATATACAAGTATGTTTCACATAAATTGAATCACATTATATATACTTAATAATTCTATTATTCATGATTCCATAATATTATTTGTGGGTCTACCTCATTCATTTAAATATGAATGAGGTAGAATGAAACATTCCACAGAATGAATATACCATGACTTGACCAGCTAGCCCTTTTTTGATGGTCATTTGTTCATTTGTTTCCAGTTTTTCACTTTAATGTATGCACCATCATTTAACTACTCTCCTCTTGATAAAAGTTGTTAATTTTTTCTCTACAACAAAATATTCTGAAACAAAAATCCTTTTACGCATATTATTGTGCACAATTGAAGAATTCTTGATGGATTCTTATAAGTTGAATTGCTGGGTTAAAAGGTATCTACATTTTGCATATTGGAATTATTGCCAATATAACTTAAACAGGAGCTTTATTTAAAAATGCCTCCTTGTTGAAACCAGTTTGGCTCAGTGGATAGAGCCTTGGCCTGCGGATTGAAAGGTCCCAGGTTCAATTCTGGTCAAGGGCATGTACCTTGGTTGCGGGCACATCCCCAGTAGGGGGTGTGCAAGAGGCAGCTGATCAATGATTCTCTCTCATTGATGTTTCTAACTCTCTATCCCTCTCTCTTCATCTCTGTAAAAAAATCAATAAAATATATATTTTTAAAAATAAAAAATAAAAATGCCTCCTATTAATACTACATGAAAGTTCTCCTTGTCCCACACAACATGCTTTTTCATTTTTGCCAAAGGAACGCCATTCTTTGAAAAATGAATCTTTTTTATTAATAGGGTTGAGTATTTCTATACATTTATTATGATGTAAAATTTTCTTCTCTGAATTGTTTATTACTTTAGCCCATTTATCTACTTGTCTTACTGATTTGCTGTGGATATGAGTTTTACTAAGTCTGCTATAGATATTAACTCAAGGTCTACTATATTTGTCCCAAATATTTTCTCCCACTCTGCCAACTACGTTTAACTGTGTTCACAATGGCTTTGTATCTATAAACACTTAATTTTTGGATGCTTAAGAAAGCCTTTCCCCTATATTGCCTCTGAAACCTTTGAAACATTGTTTTTTCACACTAGCGCTTGAACCCATTTGGAACTTATACTTGTGTATGGTACAAAGAGCGGTATCTATTTCTGTTTTTTTTTCTTTCTCCTGAAAAATCACGATTTCAATTTTGCTAATGACAAAAATAAAACTCTCAGAAATGTTAAGAAACTTGCTTGATATTTCAGAAGTAGTGGCAAGTGACTTACCTGAAATGTTACCTATTTGGCCCTTTCTACCAAACCAAGCCATCGCCCAAGAGCTATTCATGATACTTCCCACATTAAGAAAATGTTACTTAACACTCAGCACAAACAAGCCTAAAATTGTCGCTCACGTCTGCTGTGCTGCTTTAGCAGCGAGAGGTGCCTTGGCATTGCTGATCATGTTTAGAGACACCTGCCAAGATCTGCTTTGCATTTGCTCCGAGATGAAATCACGAAGTCCAGGAATAGAATCTCATTATTATTCAGCACCAACTAGCTATCATAAAAATGAAGATGCCGCATGAATACATGGAACAGATTGACAGCTGTCAGAGGGGAGGGGCATTGGGGGCTGGATGAAATAAGGTGATGGAATTAGCCAAAACACATACATTCATAGCACATGGACCCAGACCAGAATGCAATGACAGCCAGAGAAAGGAGGTTGGGGTAGGTGGAGGTGGGCAAAAGAGGGATAACTGGAGACAAAAAGAGACTGCTTGGGGCAATGAGTGCACAATGCAGTGTGCAGATGATGTTTTGTTGAGTTGTATACTAACAACTTGTATGGTTTTCTGAACCAATGTCACCCCAAAAATTCAATTGAAAAATGAGGATTGCTCACATTGACACTTTCTCAAAAGACCATCCTATGCTCTCTTGGCTGATGTGAACACAAGTGATAATAACCATGGAAGAAAAGTAGATTGTCATTCTATCCAAGACCAGAAAGCCAAACTATTCTGACTTCAGGTATAGCCACCAATCCCAAGCGAGTCCTGTCCTGCATCAAGATACACAGAGAGTTGGCTTTTAATATTTTCTGTTTAATCTATCTAATGGAGCCCATTCCCAGTTGCTAATGGATTTCTTTGCGTCTGTAAATGCTCCCCACACTGCCCAACCCAAAGCCACGGGATCCTGGGGATTATGCTGCTGGCCACCATGCTCTCATGGTGGCCAGCAGAGGTGGACCCCTAAAGCTCACTGGGCCAATCAGATAGATTCTCTCTCCATGAGCAGTTAGAGTTGGAAGTAAAGAATGAAGTCACCCTCATCAAATGACTGAAACCAGAGGACATCAACCCTGGAGCTACGGGGTGGCCATGTTCTGTCACAAAGACTGGGAAGCAGAGGTACTAACTTCAGGGAAGAGGAGAGGTATGAAATATAGCAAACAGAGAAGCAGACAGATTATTATCTGGGTTTCTAATGACTTTATGGTTGGGATCATTCATTCATAAACAAATATTTACTGAGCACTTAATATGTGCCAGACATCATTTTAGATAACTAGAGACTAGAAGATATATTGTTTTATAATAAATTCTTCTTTTTTGGTTAAGCTAAAGGCAGGTGCTTCTGTTTGTTTTTTAACCAGAGACCTATAACTTATACAGATGCATAAATACAGGAATCCTTTATCTGTGGGGTTTTTATATTCTCAGCTGTTTTAGATGCTGTTCCATTTATTAGGCATTCAACCCATCTCCCTGTATCAAAACTCATTTTATAGGCATCTTTAATCACCCTAAGGTGACTCCAAGTTCTTCTAGGGTAATGGTTCTCAACTATATGACACAGGCCCCCAGTGTTTTGTGGTCAATTATGAGGTATATCATTAATTTTTAAATTATAATGAAGTACTAAAGTTGGCTAGTGCTTTAGGATTGTGCAGCCTTCCCAACCCCTCCAAAGAAGAAACAAGGTCATCTGTAATAATGTCATCCTCACTTGCATTCCCATATATTTTCTTGGTGGAAGAGAAATTGTCCACAGGCATAACCATGGGTGTACAAAGATGTATGTTAGCTCTGTGAAAACCATCCAAGTAGATGGAAGGTTAAGAATTACAGAGACTTTGTCTTCCACAAAATTCTAAACAAATCATAGGAGCCCAGTAAGCAGCAGGTGTGGCTAATGCACCTCTTGCATACTGCTCCTTAAGTCTGCCTCATTGAAATTGGCCATACAGTAAGTGTCCACATGGACTCTGGTCCTTAGCG